GTCAATACCGCTTACATTGCGTGTGGAGGGAGGGGGGGTTTGCTATGGGAGGAAACAGGAGATCCCAGAGGAAACCAATGCAGAACAGAGGAAGAACATAAAACTCCACGCAGAGGTGCGACATTTATGAATCTAAGCCAGGATTTTATTTTACTGCACGGTACAAGCGTTACCACGGCCCGTTCCCTGCCACCCTTAGTGTTTGAGAGTGTCACAGTTGGAAGGTTGTGAATTAAATTAAGAGTGAAGGATCAACTCAGTCAGTCATCCGTAAAATGTTTAGAGCTATTTGTCTAATTATGTGCGAATAAGAAGGGACAGTGCCCAAAACATCGCAGATTATATGTTTTCCTTTTAAGGCAGTTTTATTGACGAATGTATTATTTGTTTGTCGTCATATGTGCGTTAGCATCACAGTATTTCATCTCCACGCTCAAAGGAATATGGACTGGCAATTATTTCCATTGGATGTACATAGCCAAGAGTGAAAAATAGCAGATTCCTATGGCAGATTCCATTGTGTCCATAGGATGACCACTATTGACATCGCTACAAAGTTATTGACCTCAAAGGGATGTTGGTCTGAGTGGCCCCCTAATCCAGACATTGGACTTGCAAAGTCCCGAATGCGACGTTGTAATGGTAATGTATTGACAATTAAAACGCCAATACCGTTTTTTTGTATCCTTTATTTAACCAGGAGATGAAGTAAACCCATTGAGACACGAAACAACATCACCTTTCTTTGCAAGGGCGACCTGGGTTACATCAAGGACAGTTTAAGGACGCAGCAATTGTAAAACGTTTAATGTACGGTTGGTTACGTATGGTGCAAAAAAAAGTTCAACATGCACGTGGGCTAAACTTCACAATACATTTAACACTGAACAACCTGAATGACGCCAGGTAAAGTAAAACAAAACTGAATAATTGCACGAAACATTCTAAAACATGTAAACAAATATAGTGTAATCTTCTTTGGTTCTTTCGGTAAAGTCACGTAGAATGAGAATAAAATAATAAATTGATAAAATAAAATAACACAATAATATTCTCACGACGTTTCTGGTAGGACAGCGCTGTCCTACCAGACAGTCTCGCCCCTTCACCTGATGAAGGCCGCTTGTGTTGTGGCCGAAACGTCGTGAGAATATTATTGTGTTATTTTATTTTATCAATTTATTATTTTATTCTCATTCTACGTGACTTTACCGAAAGAACCAAAGAAGATGAATCATTGCAGTCACGAAAGCTTTGAATCGAAAAATATAGTGTAACTTTCAGAAAGGAGAGTGACTAGATTCGGCAATCAATGGGGGAAATTTAATTAAAAAAACAAAGCGCGTGAGGACTGAAGTTTAACAAGGGGCGCCAAGTTCACAGCCGCTCGGCGTGCGTTGCGTAACAACGCGCCGCGTTCTTAGTCGTCTGAAGCGAGCCCTCTGCGCTGCTCCTCATCCTCCTGCTGCTTCTCATCCTCCTGCTGCTGCTGCTCCTCATCCTGCTGCTGCTCCTCGTCCTCCTGCTGCTGCTGCTCATCCTCCTGCTGCTGCTCCTCATCCTCCTGCTGCTGCTGCTCCTCATCCTCCTGCTGCTGCTGCTCCTCATCCTCCTGCTGCTGCTCCTCATCCTCCTGCTGCTGCTCCTCATCCTCCTGCTGCTGCTGCTCCTCATCCTGCTGCTGCTCCTCATCATCCTGCTGCTGCTCCTCATCCTGCTGCTGCTGCTGCTCCTCATCCTGCTGCTGCTGCTCCTCCTCCTGCTGCTGCTGCTGCTGCCGCTTCTGCCACGACTGCTTTTCGGCCACTGCATCGCGGGGCGCTTTCAGATGCGCTTCTGCGTCCGTCCGGCAACGCTCCTCCTTCCGATGTTAGGAAGCCACTGGGAGCTTACGGCACTTTTAAACCCAGGTTGAAAATCAATTTATTGGGCACGGCTTTTTGTGTTTAGTTTGCTGTCCTCCCGCACGTCCGATAAGTACTTTTGCCTGTCGCACTGTGCGAAAGAAGTTCAACGTACACAACAACGACAACAACAACCGTTATTCGCCACTAAGTGGCGGTGACGTCAACACGACGCTTGTGCCAGGCTATGTGCACCTTGAGGCCACGTGAAGTGTCGAACGCCCGCTGGCAGGAGGTCACGGCGCAGATCCGGGTGCCACGGGTCGACTGACTTGAGATGACTGGCTGATGACACATACACACACGCGCTCACTTCCGATGCCACTGCTCCCATCTCGTAGCGGCAAACTCATCCCCCCGCACGCGCAGCCTCCCACTTGGGCATGCGCGACGCTTTGCCTCCTCTGCGCTGTCATGGGCGCAATTAACGGTCCCCTCCATTGCCAGAATGCCAGGGCCACTCAGCCAGAGAGATTACATTCCACCCCCCCCCTCCTCATCTTGTGGCTGTCTTCCCGGCCGCTTCAAGCGCTGCGCGCCGCCGTCTCGTGCTGAGGCAGCGCTTTATGCGATATGCGCAGCGTGGGCTACAGTGGTCGAGGTCCGTGTTCAAGACGGATTCGCGCGTAAAAATAAAAAATAAAACAATCTCGCTCCCCGCTTCCATAGGGCCGCAACAGATGATGCCTCTTACACTCCACCCTCGCGGAGCGCCTCCCTGCGGACCACACTTTTTTGTTTTTGTAAATGTTTTTTGTTTTGTTTTACCAATCAAGAGGTTAACGACAATTGTCCACGTGCGGGGCGATTAGTGATAAGGTTAGGGATAAGTCGTAGAAGAGAAGGGCATTGCTATGTCACGTCACGGCCCTGTGCACTGTGCTTAGGCGGGCGCGGTCCACGTTGCTTCTTGCTGGAGAATGAACGCGGGCGCTGCTGCTGTTGCATTCGCGTGCAGTCGTAACCCACAATGCCGTCGGGACTCGAACTCTCGCACGAACAAGTCACCTATCGCGTTGCAGCGCGTGTCTGCAACGTGTCGACGTGAACGAATGTCTCCCGCGGTGCCTTTCGTGACATTAAATATGCATGTTTTTTTTCTCTCTCTCTCTCTCTCTCAAACGCACGGGGTAAAACCACCATCGTTCTAATTATTTATACGTCCCTCCCATCACGAGCGGGGGTGGGGAGAGGGGTGCGTAAGAAGCGCTCGGCGTGTAACCAGAGCCGCCGCCACCGCAGCAGCAGCGGCGGCGGCGGCGGCGGCGGTGGTGGCCGCGCGCGACGAGCAGAGACTCGCGCTCATCCAGCCGACCCGCGGGGTGTGAAATCCACGGCCCCCCCCCCCCCCCCCCTCTCGTCATCCGTGTCGGCCGAATTTGGGACGTGGAGTTAGAGGTCGGCACTTGGGCGACTGCGGCGCAGTTGCAGTCCCGTTGCATCGGCACCCTGCTCGGCGCTGTGAACTAGAACCCCCTCCACGCCCACCGCACGATCTATGTTGCGCACCGCGCGCTGCGTTCTGCTCGATGTTCCACGCGCTGGATGTGACGCGGAGGATAGAGGGGGAGGCTCGTGGATACTCGCGGCGCGGGTTATTTATGCCACGCGAGGCGGACGCGTCTCATAACGAGAGACACTCGGCGTTAATTATAGACGCGCATTTTACTCGGGGGCTGCTCTGCGCGCGCGAGAGAGAGAACAAGAAATGGGCTATCCGAACCGCGACTTTGCACGGGCAGCTTCAGCGCGACGACGATTCGTTCCGCGCCGAACGGCCGGACGAACGATGTTCTTCGCTTGGAGACGTCCGATTAATGCGGATTAACGTTCTCACACTGGCGCAATGTTTGAAGAAATGGTTTATGTCGTAAAGGGAAGAACTAAAAAAACCCCACCAGACGCGACAATGATTCGAAGGAATGACGCGCCATAAAATAAGATGATAATCTCTATTATTTATGGAACAATGTCACACGATGTTATGGGCACCGATCGATTTTTTTTATAGAATGTTTAGCACACCATTATCTCTTTTTGCGGAGTATCCGTTTTTATGTATACAGACTGCAATTCGAAATATGTTAAGGCAATTAGAAAGGCGATGCGATGTCAATGTTCTGTTTCTCGAATGCGCGTGCGACTGACCGCACACCGCCTCCTTCCCCGTGCACGCACGCACGCGCACACGCATGTGTGTGTGTGTGCGCGCGCGTGTGTATGCACGTGTGTTGTGTGTATGTGCGCGTGACACAAATCACGCAAACACACGCGCACGGGCCGCTACGCTGCAGCGCATCGCGGGCAATGAACAGATTTACGGCAGCGTACCCGTTAAATAGCGCGACTCCGATTTTAAAGGCGGCTCGTATTACGGCTCAAGTATCGCAGTGCTCTATATATATACACACACGCGCGGTATGTGTCAAATATTACGCCGTGTGTGTATACACACTACGTGAGGCGTGCTATATGTGCATCAGTGAGCTGCTGCGCTGTATTATTATTGCAAGCGAGCCGAGACTTTCAAGATCAGCGCAGAGGCAAAGTGCACGTGTGAATGACTCATAAGCTATCCCAATCAGCTCGTACGTGTCACGTGACTTCTCCGCACGGCGTGTGTCTGGTTTATGCACGTTTCCAGGAAAGCTTTGACACATTTTTATTTTTTACGACATTTATTCCCGTGATTGTGACGATCACTTCCCGGAAAAGATAAATGGCGACTTCTTGAGAAACTCGGAACAACCAAATGATGCGTTCGGGAAGGGTCCATCGCTTGGCAAAATTACAAGCAAATAGAATAATTTACGGCCACTGCATTTTTTGTGTTCGTCCATAAATGTAGTTTTTATTATTTTTTTAAAGTTACATGCATTAACTTGCAGAGCGCTCGCGCGTCACGTGACGCCACGCGACAGATTCGCACGAATTTGAATTTCCTCTCGTAGCTGAAACTCCGCTCCATCCCTCCTCACGTGCCTGGCCCTGCCCCCCCCCCCCCCCCGAAAGCAGAGAAGCGCGGATAAACTATGGGAAGAAGGTACAATCGCTCCCCCCCCCCCCCCCCCTTACGTCCAATGGTTGCAACTCTTACATCGTTCCTCCGCAGCGAGCCGAACACGCGCGCAGCCAGCATTGGCCGCCTTAGCTCGGAGCGCTCCCCCACTCAGAGCGCCATTGGCGGCAGGCGTGCTCTGGGCGGTATAAATTATGTACAATTAGCGCATCCCATCGCAATGAGCGCGGCTCGCTGGCGCGCAGCACCAGTAGCGGGCAGCAGCAGCAGCGCACCCTGCTGATGCAGCGGCGGCGGCGGCAATAGCAGCAGCAGCAGCGGCGGCAGCAGCGGTGGCTGAGCAGACGCGCAGCAGTAGCGGTAGCGTTTGCGCGTCTCACGCATGCATCGCACGGCTTGCGTTATCGGAATATGTAACATGGCCGTCGACGCCTCGTTGCAAATAGGCATTTAAAGAGGAGGTTTACGGGGGGGGGGGGGGGGGGGGAGTAATAATTCAGAGACAAAGGGATGCGAAGGTGGCGTGAGCCAGGGAGTAGCAAGTTACTGATCGAATAAGAACCCCGCCGGTCGTGGTGCGCTCGCGTGTTGCAAAGGGAGGCGGTGCAGACAGACGGGGCAGACGGACAGACAAACAGGCAGACCGGCAGTCAGACAGGTAGACAGGCAGGCAGACGAGCAAGTAGGCGGAGCGTGCGCAATTGAATTGTGGAACCATTCACGTTGCACCGTGGTGGTGGCGGCGGCGGTGGCAGTGGTGGTGTGGGTGGCATGCGTTGCGCGCGGCGCCGACACGGCTAGATTTGGACGGATTTTAAACGCGAGCGGAGGGCGAGGAGGTTTCTGTCGCTGTTGTTGGCTGAGCCCAGCGGCCATGGACGTGCTGCCCAGCTACAGCATCTTCCACGAGCTCCAGCTGGTGCACGACACCGGCTACTTCTCGGCACTGCCGTCGCTGGAGGAGATCTGGCAGCAGGTGAGCGCAACAGAGCGCGCAGTGAGTGTGGGTGGCAGGCGAAGCGACTGAGGAGTGGGGGAGCGGGGATGGGGGGGGTGGGGAGTACACAAAGACAAAGCTCCCCCGTGTAGTCTGTTGGGGCAAGTGATGTTAGCGAGCACCTATCAAGGCCGGTACTGTGGCCACACGAGCGAGTGGGGTGGACAAAATCCAAGCCGCGCCCGGACCGCCTTTGTCTCCCCCAGTGGCGATGTTCACACGTCGCAACCAGGTACTCAGTTGAGGCTGAGTGGACCTAGGGGAGGAGACCCAGGACCGGTTCGGATAATCGTCACTGGGTGTTGGTGACCGTGAGCGGTGAATGGAACTCGGAGGGTCGGGCGAGTTCGTAGCGTGGCGCGCTCACCGCATAAACGCGCGCGCGCGTTGGGTGGAGTATCCGATTATGTACGCACGTCCATGTGCCTGTACGTATGTGCCGTGATGATTACAGGTCCTGTGGGCTGCACGTGCATGAAGTGTACGCATGGCTAGAACAGACAGACAGACACGCGCGCACGCGTGCATTGTGCAACGCACGCGCGGTCTCTGCTGCAGAGATCACTTACCGCGTTGCGCGAACGATTAAGACAACGCAGCGGAGAGAACGCACCGACAACATCCCTGCCTATCGGCGGTGCTTTGTGATTGGGGAAACGTGGGGGGTGGGGGTGGAAACCACAGGGTCCCCGCTGATTTCCCAAACAGCCGCTTGCAGAAACAGATTGTACGCAGTTTGACTGGCGGCCCAAATGCAGAATGTCAGTGCGCGCGTCTTTGTCTGCACGCTGCAAGTGGCTAAGTCACTTGGCGCTGGTGGTAGCTGAGACGCGAGCGCGGCGTTGCGCGCTCGTCCCCACGTGGCCACTGCTGCTGATGATGATGTTGGTGCTGCTGATGATGCTGCTGCAAATGATGCTGATGAGAATGCTGATGATGATGATGCTGTTGTTTCTGTGTACGAGGACTGCACGTCGAGTGGTAAGAGCCGCTGCTGCCCGCACGCAGACGAAATTGAAATCATTATATTGATTCATACTGGAGGAATCTGATGAGCTATAAAGCTCTTTTTTAACAGTTGTCCGGTATTGCGCACAGGGCGACCGTGACGACAACTTGAACGCACCAAGGGTGTCGATTCAATAAGCGTCTTAAGACGGTTCACAGAAAGAAGAACTGCGATTTTAATGTCGATTGCGCTTAAATTCGACGTCTCACTCGCACACGTCCGCTGCGCACGTGGAAAGATGTTGGCAGTGGTGTTATTTGTGGTGATTGTGGGTCAATCTCAAGGCGAACATTGGCAGAATTAGTACATATACACACACACACGACACGGATGCGAGAGTGGACGATTCGTATTCGCTCTACCCACCAAACAAGCTCGACGCGTAACCAATTCCACGCGGTTCTTTGTCGGCGAACCGCGCGCCTCGTGCCAACGCGGCCCGAGGCGCGCGCCACCGGTGGGGTCACGCGCACAGCTCCGCGGATTGGCACCCGCGGCTGGAGTGGGGCAATGCGGTCACTCGGAGAGCCGCGGCTCGCACCACGGAAACGCGTGGTTGTTGTTGTTGTTGTTTTTGTGGCTGGTGGTGTTGTGAGTGGTGTGATTATTCACAACAGCATGGACGTGCAGTCGGCCAACGCACGCGCCGTGTGGTCAGACGACTCAACCCGCGGGCCTCGCGGCGTCCGGGAGGCTTTCATCCAGCAGTGGCAGATTTTTGACAGAGCCCTTTGAATTGTACTTTGACTGCCGTGAGCGCCTGTTCGAGTCCCAGCCACGCATTGTTTTAATTAGTACCAGTGGCGGGTGTTATCTGAACCGATTCTGCCCTCACCACACGCTTCTCCAAGACACGCTGACCAAACGTGGTGAAGTATGGTCAACAACCCTCGTGAGTGACACTGCGTGGGGGCACCTTCATCCAGCAGTGGATTGACATAGGGCTGTCAATGACTGTGATAATGATGATAAACGTGAGATGGCTGTGCGCTGCCCTACAAACCCGGCGCCCCGAGTTCGATTCCCGCTCACGGCCAACACCAGTGGCGATTATCTGATTCGGTCCTGGGCTCCCTCGAGGTCGACTCAGCCTCAAATGAGTACCTGGTGCGGTGTGTAAACAAAAACATCGCCACTGGGGAGACAAAGGCGACCGAGCGTGGTGCTGACCACCCACCCCGTCGCGTGCCGTTCCGGCCTTCATAATTGTTACTCGCTAACAGCACTTGCCCCTAGAGTCTGTTCCAGGCTTTACGGGGGACCTTTGTCTTTGTCCTGCGAGACGCGCGCGGCAGAATCCGGCGCTCGCACGGCACCGCGTTCCGTGTCACTCCACTCGACTCGTGAGAGCGACCCCGTGTCCACACGCTTGGGGCTCTAGCTGTGAGGATGGCACGGGGCAGCGGGTGGTGGGACATGCACTCGTGGTGAGCTCTGTGTTCGAGGTAGTGTTAGGTTTAGAACATTGCGACGTTTATTGCAGTTGGAAATAACATTCTAATCGGTATAAGCTTTAACAGGTTGGGGGGAGGAGGGGGGTTGTTCGTTGCATATATATCCCATTTATAGAATTCTGATTTTGTCAACGTGAATATTAGAACAGCCAACACTTTACGGAGCGGTGGCGCAGTGGTTAGCGCACCACGCTAAGACCCTCCGCCCCACCGCACGCCTTCCCCCACCCCCACACCGCCGGCGACCGGAGTTTGATTCTTTTGCTCCGCGTTCAACAGCGGATTACCAACGGGGACCGTCGAGAGCACACCGCATCGGCGTTTGACGATTCACGAAGAAGAAACGTGTTCGGCTGGGTTCCACGTTTGCACTTCAACGCGACAGCCAAAATCAAACGTGCCTTCTAAAAGTGGCAGCGCAGCGCCGCGCGCTTGCAACGAGATGCGTGCAACTAACTGCGCGGCGATCCGTCGCACCGCGTTATCACGTTCGCAATTTGGAGAGTGCCATCCGTCTGAAAAATGTGCGTTGCGATGGGCGGCCTCACTTAAAACTTTCCCCCGTGGCGTCGCTGATCAATGTGTCCGCGTCACCCGCGCGCACATGCACACACACACACACCCCCACCACCACCACCATAATGTATTCGGTATTAGTTGCGGCTTGCCCTGCCTGCCCCGACGTTCCCGTCTCGTGGTTCACAGCTGTGCGCATCGTATCAATCACGGCGTGCGGCACTTTCAACCCAAGTGTCTGCGGGAAAGCGTGCAAAGCGTCCAGCCTGGTGGCACGATCATAATAATACTACTACTACTATCACTACTCAATCTTGATTTGAAGCATTCCTGACTGCAGGAATCCATACTCTTTGGTTCTTTCGGTGAAGTCACGTGGATAGAAAAGTATTAACAGATCACGACGTTTCGATCGCAACACAAGCGACCGTCTTCAGGTGAGAGAGAGAGAAAGCTACTCAAACAAGGTCTTGTGTAGGCCTGATACTACGACTACTGTAATACACAACAACATTGACAGCGCCGTAACATGGCAAGCCACGTTTACAAGAGCACGCCAAGAAGGGCCGTTGCCCGAAACGTCGCCAGTTTTATATGTAAATATATATATATTTGTTCAGGGCCACGTAGTGTTATTGACGAATCTGTTGAGGTTGTTGATGTTAATTGTGCACCACTGGCAGAGCAGAAGCAGAAGCAGCTCCGCGTGATAATGCCTCGTCTCCGCAGGGGTGCATGCGGCTGCAAATAGATTTATGCCAGGTCTGGTTGTGTGTGTGTGTAGGGGTTTGTTTTTGAGTGGGAAATGCTTTTCAATTACATTTTTAATGAGTCCATAACCGTTATAATGAAGTATATTTAGTGGGGGTGTTTTGTGTGTGTGTGTACATATATCTGCTGATCGTTGCGTGCTTATTATTAGTATATGTTTTAAATCGATGCTCAGATTAAACATTGAAAAATCATGACCGCTCCTGAAAGCATCACTCAAAGTTTAAACGAGAACTGAAGACGACAAAAACCCTTTGCAACTTAGCGAGGCGATCGTGGTGATCTTAAATCACAGGAAAGCTGTCACACTTTTATTGGGGGGGGGGGGTTCGTCAATGATGGAACATTTAAAAATTTATCGTTTGTAAACAAACAAACAAAACCCCTTTGATTTTAATGACCCGCATTACTGTACGTGGATGCGCAGCTTAACTATTGTACGTGTGTTGAATTTCTTTCGCACCGTACGTATAATGAGTATCAAAGGCAGCACGCATTTGTGTTTTTAAAAAAATGTACAGACCATGCAGACGAGGAAATACATTAAGGAAGGAAAGTATTTCACCTCATGCCAATCTAAATGAAGTGAATGTTGCACATGTTGACTTCGCAAGGGAATATTGTGAAACTATTCAAAGCCACTGGGTTAACAAATGAGTATTTTGCTATGAAATGCGAGGGTCTTCCCTCCCGTACAGCAAGAGCTTCACCATTAGCCCTTCATTCTCACCGCATTGCTTGGCGGATATCCCTCCCTCCCACCACAGCAACAGTTGACCTCTTGTGTTCAAGCAGAATAAGCCTACGAGGCAGATGTCTGCTGTTCGTGTTCAAGATGCAAGATCGCCGTTATGTGTGTGTTGGGGAGCGGTAGTGTAGTCATTAGAGATCTGCGCTATGAACCCGGCACCTCCCGGGTTCGAGTCCCGCTCACGGCCAACACCTGTGATGATTATCTGAACCGGTCTTGGGCCTCCCCTAGGTCGACGCAGCCTCAAATTAGTACCTGGTGTGGTGTGTAAACATCGCCACGAGGGAGACAAAGGCGGCCGGGCGTAGTGCCGCCCACCCACCCCCTCGTGTACCACAGTACCGGACTTCATAGGTCCTATTCGCTAACAGCACTTGCTCCGTACAGTCTGTTAAGGCTATACGGGGGATCTTTGTCTCTTCGTGTGTGGAGCTTCTTTCGCACCGTACGTAGCCACACCGTGCTAATCCGAGGTGGG